GAGATTCTGAGCTCCGGCCTTCGGAAAACCGTGTCTTCTTAACATGTGTGGATGTCGGGGTTCCAAGCCTCCTTCTTCCCACCGAAGGGTGGGTGCATTATCGGAAGGGGTGGTGGTGCCCATAGCCAGTCCACTCCGATAGGAATCCCTCCCCCGAAGAGTGCTCTCTGGAATCGAATTAGAAGTCCATCCACACAAAGGGCGGCGGGCGGCCCTGGTAGGCAGAGGGGCGCGTCCGGGACTTTATCTCGGGTCTCGAAACGGATGCCCGGGGAGGAAGGGCCAGCTTGGGGAGCCTGGGTTCCTATGGCACTAGCTCGCCGGGGACCTAAGCCATGGGGCGTTGCGCGGGAAAGAAGAGGGGGACCAGCCTGGGGCGGGGGACTGGGAACCTGGCTAGGGGTTGGGGTTCTTTGCTCCATGGGGCTCCGTCGCCTGGCCGGCTCACTTTCTCAGCCTGGAGCCCCAAGGCCCCGCAGGGACCCTAGTTGGCGGACTGGCCGGGGCGAAGGAGCCGGACAGGGCGCCGCGGCCCCGCGGAGCCGGCGGGCCAGCGCGCTCGGGCTTGGGAGACGAGAACTCCAGCGCCCGCCGAGCGCCGCGTCCGTCGCTCCTTCATTAGCTTCCGCTCCACGCGGCGCTGCCTGCCTCGGAAAAGAAGTTAGCAAACGGGGAGCCGTTTATCTCTTTTATCTTGGGGCCTGATCCAATTAAATAAGTGCACATTTACATTTGCATCCATCAGGCGGGAGCGCTGAGAGGCCGGGGTTTGCTCGGAGCAAATAAAAGCAGATTTCTCTGAGAAAGTGGCGTCTGGGCACGCCGGGCTCATCCGGGCGCCGGAAACCAGCGCGGCCGGCCGGGAGGTGGCCTGGGGTCCCAGTCCGGGGCCTGCACGATGCCAGAGGCCGCCAGCGGGCCGGAGGGACGGGAGAGGGAGGCGTTGTCAGAGTCGTAGTTAGGTCCCTGGGACACTCTCCTCTTAGGCCCCGACCTCGGTCACCTCGTACGGTGACCCAAATTATATTTAGCGCGAAAACGAAAAGGAGACCGTCTTTGGCCTGACCACAAAGGGAGACCCTTGTCTAGGGAATAGACAGGGTCTCGCAGCTTTGGCCATGTTTGGCGTGGGCAACAAGGTCCCAGATGAGCCCGAGGTCCCGCCAGTTCTAGGCCGAAAGGCAAGGAATGTGGAGGGCCAGGGCGGGCGTGCCTCGCTTTCCACCAACACCCCAGGAAGTCAAGCTTTTGGGCCAGGGGCGGGGCCCCGCCCTTTAGCCCTTAGGGCTAAACTTGGGTAAGGGGACGCTCTGGTGAGTTTGGCCTACTTTGCGATGAAATTGACTTCGTTTAAAGGCACTTTCGAAATAAGAGTAATGCAAGGAAGGGTAGGGCCTCTTCCACGGGCCCAAAGCCCTTCTGCCTGAAGTGGTGTCTGAAAGCAGCCCCGGAGATGCCAAACTGTTAATTAAACACAATGGCGGCACAGGGTCCAGAGCCCCAGTGGGGGCACGTCCGCAGAAACAGCAATGAAGGATTGGGGGATCGAGAGCAGGGGCGCCTGGCCGAGGCCCCCACCCGAGAGCTTGTTTAGCCTCCTGCATATTTCTCAAATGTCTGCGGCCCTTGGCGAAGACTTTGTGGGAGTCACCGCAGAAATCCATAGGGTTAAACCCTTTCTGCCCGGGAATCCTAATCCCCCAAATCCCCAATGCTAAGGAAGCCCTGGATCTGACACTCGGTCCGATCCTGAAGCTGCGCAGGCGGGGCTGGACTCTGGCTCCCAGTTCCCATGCATCTTTCATGGGGCCGCAGTTAGGGTGTTGGAGCCGCCTAAATGCCACCGGCTTCAGGTGCAGAACTAGGGTCCTGCCTAGTGGGGCGGGGCGTTAGCTGGGGCCCGGGAGCACAGCTGGGTCTGGCCTACCTCCCCGGCTCTGCAAATCGACCAGTAGGCGGCGCCCTTCCTAGACTGCGTGCCAGTCAGGCTCTTTCCTGGGAGTATTCCGCATTCCATTCCTTTCACTCCGGGCTTTTTGCAAAATGCTCCAGGTGCCCCCGCCAGAGTTGGCAACTAATTGTGGGGGACAGGTGTGCGCTAAAGCACGTCTCGTGCCGAAACTGCACGCACGCTCCCTCCCTCTGCGTCCTGTCAGGTCCTAAGAGCGGTGCACGCCTTGGAAACGAGTGGCCCTGAGGAGTTTGCAAACCAGGCCTCACGGGGGCCCTGCACCCAAGCCAGGGAAGAAGAGATTTGGGGCTCTGACACCTTGAGCCAAGCCGGGGATCCTGGGACCCAAGAAGAAAGAAGCCATCTTCTCCTGCCTCCCCATACTCCCGAATATGCACCCACCCCCCTTGAGGGCGGGGGGGTGGGGGTGGGGGGTGGGGTGAGTGCGTTGACTGGGCCTGTACCCTTTTCGTCCCTAAAAGTCCCTGAAACATTTTCGGCTCTGTACAGCTTTAGGAAAGGGGACCATCCCGTGTCAGATTTGGGGCGCTGTCTCTCGAGAGTGCTGGCAGAGACCTCATGAGGGGATCCAGCACCTCCTATTCCGAAAGGGCCAAGGGAGGCACTCCCTTGGGGTCAGAATGGGCCCAGCCAGGCACAGGTGGCAAACGCGCACGAAGCATCACTGGGCGCCACTCTCACTCTCTATTCCCAACCTGCAAACAAACCCGGTCCCGCACAAGTTTTCCTCCCGCGCCTCGGACACTGCCACAGGCGGGCACGCGGAGGCTGGAGGAAGGCGGGCTGGAGAGCTTAGAGTCGTATGGCTCATTCTGGGATCAAACGCTGGAGACAGGTCCTAAATACTGCGACCTCATTCTGTCCAGCAGGTCGCTTCCAAAGTGGGAAGACGGAGAACACCAGAAGAGCCGCTGAAGATCCAGCCCCAACTCAGCAAACGATCGATCCCCAGGCTCAGGATGCAGGGCACAAATAGAAGCGCAGACCCAGCCGGGGCCCAGGGCCCGAGCGGGGCCGCCAGTCATCAGCCATCCAGAAGTCTCAGTGCCTCCCGCGCCCGGGCTTGGCTAACCCCCTCCCCTGGCAGCCCCGGGCAGCACATCACAGCCCCTACGGCAATGGGCTGTCAGCCCCCGACCCATCAGGCTGTTTGATTCCCAAGGCCCACGCCGCGCCATTTGCATATTCCCAAGAAGTCCAGGAGGCCTGTAATTTTCTTTTTTAAATTGTTGGGCAGGGGTTACAGCCAGTGATTCCAAAACCCCGCGGAGCTGAAGTCGCCCTTAAACTCTCTTTTAGAGAAAGAGACAAGCTTATTCTTCTGATTTGTTTAGAAGACGCAGTGACTCCCCGGGGCTGCAGATTCAACCGGGAGGAAAAGTTGATTGTGAACTAAGCTGCCAGTGTGGGGGAGGGGGCAGGGAAGCGGGGCGCAGGGCGAGTCATCTCTGGAATTCAATTGTTTAAAAAAATCATTTATAATTAAAGGGACAAAATAAAATACGATCGTCTCATGCATATTTAATCATTCACACGTCCAGCAAAGAAACCATTTGCGCCCGGCGTGAATTTTTTCACTTATTTGAAACTCCGAAGTTGATTGTGGTTTCTTACAACCTCTGGACAAGGAAGCTTTCAAAAATGTTTAAATTTGAATAAGACACACGTGCAAAGTAAAAATTCCCGGTGAAAATTTGGGAAGTGTTTTCAAAAACTAGGCAGTCTTAAAGGAATCTTGAGTCGAAATGTAAGATTATGCCATTTTTATTTAGCCTCATTAGTTTAATGCATAAACTCGCTACACTCGGGCTTGGGTGGAATCCCAAACCAAAGAGCCATCGAGTCATTTCTGACTCATTAATTCCCCTTGCTGGCGTATGTTTTCGCAGCGGCTCCACCCCACCAGGGTCACCGAAAATTTCCCACGCGTTGGCTGCTGGAAATCACAGACTGAAAAACGGAGACCCGGGCACCGAGAAGCCAAGCAGGAGCCTCGAGTGCTGGCGGCTCAGAACAGTGTTTCTCTTTCCCCTCTGGGCTTGGGAAGCGACTGGCTGCTTCATTTTGAGGAGCAAGTCAGACCTCAACATTTCTCTTGCAGCCAGCCACTCAGTCGGACTGTTGAGTAAGCCCAGGAAACGTGCTACGGGGAAGACAGGTCTGGTGGAGTGACATCGGCCTTGTTACCTAGGCTCCGAACTTTTGAAGGTCCCTCATCTAAAAAGGCCCACAGTGGAAGGTGGGCGCCTCTGGTCCTTTCCAGGCTGCCCACGCTCCTCCCACCACCCCCCACCCGGTTCTTCGGCCTACCTTCTCACGGAGCTGTGAAGTGTAGGCTGGAAATTTGAGACAAGTGTGACACCTACCTGTGAAAGGGGGGAACCGTCCCCCTTGCCTGCCTGCCTCCCGGGCCCCTGAGCAGCCATGGGCCTTGGCCGCCGGGATCTGCGGGGCTGCCCACCACCCGCACCGTTGGGACCGCACCCTCACTAATTTAATCAAATCTAACGAAGATCAATGCCCAATTTTGAAGGGGTAGAGCAGGCGGTGGCTTGGAAAAGCCTCCCCGCCTCAGCATCACCCCACGCTAATGCTAGCCCCACCTCCGAAATAGTAATAAGGGCTAAATCCAGCATAAAATCGAACTCATTAACAAAGTTCACCAGCTGATTGCTTTGCATAAAACACGACACTGATTGGAAGTAATTAGGTTAAGCGTTGGTGCTCTGGTGGTGCATGTCCCTAGCTGGCTTTGCCATCTTTTCTCCCTTCGGGGCACACACACGGCGCCCCCACCTCCTTCCTTCAGGTCCAATCTCCCCCAAGTGCCAGCATCCTTGATCCAAATCAGCAGTGGGGCAGGGTCCTTGTCCCCAGGGCTCACTGCCTAATTCCAGTTTCCTGCTGGGCTCCAAACTCCATGAACCCTTCCTTGCATTCCCCACTTGGGAAAAAGTTGCAGTTAGCACCTTTTGTCCAAGGCGGTGGACACTTGATTGAGGCTTCTAAAAAGTAATGATGGCTCTGATTATGTTAAAATCTCTTTTAATTAAATATTTTGCATCTTACAAAGGTGGCTGCAGTTTCTTTGACTTTCTTAAAATCTAAGAGTATAACCTGCTTCCTTTCTGTAATAATACTTTAGAGCTCAAACCCAGAAAAATCAATAGATGTAAAAAATTAAATTAAACTTGTATTTTTAAACTATGAAACAGCTTGGGGGAAAGCACAAATGTATATATTTATATTACAAAAAAAAATTAAATGCCTGTACAGGGATCTTGATTTCATAATTTACTTCAAAGATATTGAATTATCGATTTAAATACAAAAATGCTACATTAAATATACAGAATAAGATTTAATACAAATCCTTTTTGTTTTAATTTTTTTTTCCTTTTCGGGTGGCTAAGACATTTGTGTGTGGAGATGTTTACATTTTTATGTCATCCATCTCCATTAACTATAAACTTTTGAATAGGAAGGGTGGTATGTGTTCGTTGGTTTTGATTTGTTTTTCTCTTTTGGGTGATGGAAAAATAACTGCCAGGGTTATGCTGTTGTTTTTTAAATAAATTAGAAAAGTCCGGGACCGACGCAGCCCGCGTTAAATGTCCGACATACCTTTCTTCAATTCATAGGGAGAGTCTTTGCACAGGTCTAGCTGGGACTGGCTCCGCAACATTTTCGGGTCTTTGGCCAAAGCATCTGCTCGGTTCAACACCGTCTGATTTAATCCATTGAAATGCGAGCCTGGGCCGGTGGGGCCTGGCCCGGGCCCTGGGTGGCCATGAAGGTGTCCAAAGGAGCCGTAGTTCGTGTAGCCCGGATAGAAGGGCGCCGTGTAGTAGAGCGGCCTGGACAGCACCGTCCCGCCAGGAAAGGGGCACTGCCCAGACGGCGAGCGGGACGGTGCTGGGGCCGGCGACGCTCTACTGCCTACCAGGGCTTGCCCTGCTACAGGCCCGGGACACGGAGGGCACGGAGAGCCCTCGCTCCCTCCGACCCCGTCCTTGACCTTGTCCGAGGATGTGGCGATCTCTGCCAGAGACCACAGTTTGGGCTTGGTGAGCACCGCTTGCGGCGGCGGCGGCGGTGGTGGCGGCAGCGGTGGCGAGTGGATGACAGAGGGCCCGCCTTGGCCGGGGGGCAATTCTCCAGTGGTCGAGTGCGGCGGGGCAGTGGCAGGCAAGCCCGAGGGGTAGTGAGCGACCGGGTCCTCAGCTAGCCGCGCCGCCGCTGGCCTGGCTGGGGAGGATCCGCCAGCTCTGGGGAGCCCGGGCAGCGTGTCGAGATGGCCCTCTGAAGAGGGCTCCTTAAAATCAGAGTCGCTGAGGCTGCCCTCGGTCTCCTTGCAGGCGGGGGTGGGCGGTCCTTGCAGCCGTTCGCAGCCAGAAGCTACCTTCTCCGCTCCTCCTGCGGACAAAACCCAGGCTGTCAGAGGCGTGGAGGCCATGAGGCTGGACTAAGTCCGGGGCCGGCAGAGGGAGAGCCCACCACGCTCCCAACCCCAAACCCCATGCGCCCCCCTCCCACCCCACGCGCTTGTCGCTTCCTTCTTCCTCCCCCTGCACACTCCTGCTCGCTCGCCTGGACAAACCTGCTTCGGAGCCCTCCGTGTCGCCCTTGTCCTCGGGCTTCTGGGGCTCATCCTCGTCATTCTTCTCCAAGTCAATGTTCTCTTCCTCTTCCTCATCCTCGCTACGGTTCCGTGGTGTCCATGTCATCTTGTTCTCCTTCTTGAGGCGCCGGCGCGCGTTGGCGAACCAGGTGGACACCTGGGTGAGGGTCATCTTGGTGATGATGGCCAGCATGATCTTCTCGCCCTTGGTCGGGTAGGGGTTCTTGCGGTGCTCGTTCAGCCAGGCCTTGAGGGTGGCCGTGGCGTCCCTCGTGGCGTTCTTCCGGTATGCTGGGTCCCCATAAGGGTAAGAGCCCAGGGGCGCTGCGTATGGATGGTACCCCAAGGAGCCCGCCATGCCTGGTGTGTGGTCATAAGGAGAGCCCTGTGGGGGACAGGTAGAGCAAAGGTGAGAATTGGTAGAGATCACAACAGTTACATGAGTGACCTAAGCACACTTCCCCAGCTCAATATGCAGGGTGGCCCTCTTGGCTGGCAGACTCAGACCCAAGGATAAGCCTCCTCCCCCAAGGCAGCAGGGACCCCAAATTCTGAGTCCAGTCCTTTGAGGGCCCCCAGCGGTCCTGGTCTAGGTATCATTCTGTAGGTTTCTGTTTGCCAGGGCACATTTGTCCCCTACTCAACTGGTCACTTGGGCCCGGCCCTCCACCAAGAGAAAGGCCTGCGAGTGGCGAGTAGCGGCCAACTCCGCGCCTGAAGCTGCGCGACAAAAAAAAAGGGAAGAGAACAAGAGCCCAGGCAGCCACCCCACCTTCTCACAGGCTCCCAGAAAAGAAACGCAGAGGAAAAGCTGAGTCTTATCCCAGCCCCCGCCTCTCTTCAAAAATGCTACCCCTACTCAGTGCACCGCGAGGCTCCAGAACGCAACGCGCACCCAGACGAAAAATCCCGGATGCACCGCAACTCTGCCCACTTTTCAAGTAATTTAATACCTTCAAATCGGATTGAAAAAAATAGGATTACGGATTCGCAACATTTTTGAGGACTAATTAAAGGCGAGGGGGACACGTTCACAGAGATTTCGCACGTCTCCGTTCAGATTTCAGGTCTATTTCTTTTAAACTACTTTCCCCAAATGACGAAACCCACCCCCCAAAAATAATACTCAAAGGATGGTCCAAGCCTATGTTTGTTCCCAATGCTGCTCGTTAATTGCAGCGACCGCTCGCAGAAAAACCCTTCCAGCCTGCTCTACCGCGCAAGGAAGACGCGACTCCTGTTTTCCGAGCAACTCCGGAGCTCAAGGCCCGGTCAGAGCGAGTGAGACAATCGCCCAAGTTTTCGGGCACCAAGAAGCCCGGCGGGTGCCATTGGCAGTGATGTGGAGGCCGGTTCCCCCATCCCCACCCTCCCACCCCAGCCCCTGCCCACCCCGCTGGGCCCGGGTGTCTTCTCCCGCAGCGGATCCAGTCACTCACCACGTACGAAGAGAACGCGGCCGCCGCCGCCGCCGCGGGGTCGGCCCCGTACTGGAGGTGCGAGTTGTAGCCCGGCGAGGGCGCCGTAAAGGCAGTGGAGCCAGCATAGGGCGAGAACGCGGAGCCCGACGACGAACGGCCTAGCTCATCGGTGCGGGGTCCCGAGATGACGCTGGTGCTGTACGCCGGGCAGGAGTAGAGCGCTAGCGAGGCGGACGGCTGGTACAAGTAGCCCTGAGGGTAGGACATGGCCACACACGGGCATGGGGCGCGCCGCGCGGCGGCCGCCAACGAGCCAGGCGGCGCCCAGCGAGGCCGGGCGAGAGAGCACCTGGCCTCCGGCTTCCCCGGGCTGCCGCTCCTGGGGCCCCGGCTCCCGGCCCGCGGCACCCTCTCACTGCCTTCCCTCGAGCCTCCGGCTGCCACCTCCGCGCCCGCTCCTCTGCGCGCTTCACTGGCCCAGGCTGCCCCCGGCCCCCCCCTTTCCCCTCCCTTGCTGCTTTCTCTTTTTCCCCTCGCTCTTTGCACCGGGGGGCTCTGCCTTTGGCTTTGCAAAGGTCCTGCCAAGATGCTAAGTTGGAAATTGAGGATTCTGACGCCTAGTGCGCGCTCGAAGCTCCTCCTTCCCGGGGTGTTGTCGAGGGGAGGACTGGCAGGAGCCTCTGGGCCGCCGCAGCCAACCCGGCCGCCAGGCGCGTCTCACCCTCTCCCTCTTCCTCCGCGGCTCCCTCTCCGGCTCCCGGTCGCTCCCTTGCCCCTCCCTCGAGCCCGCCTCTCCTCGGCGGCCCCCCTCCCTGTCTCCTCCCTCTCCCCTTCTCTCCCTCTCTCTCCCCACTCTTTCGCTCGCTACCCCCACCCCTGTCCCTCTCCCTCTGCGCTCCCCCGCCACCCCCCTCCCCTCCGCCGCCGGTCCGAGCTTAGACTCTGGAGCGCTGGCTCCAGAATGGCAGTCAAATCCCAGGCGAGCCGATCGCTTCCAACTTTCCTCCCCGCTAACTCCGGTCCAAGTGGCCAGCGGGCATACCACGGCCCCAAGTCCGCAATCGGCCGCTTAGAAGCACAAAGGGAATGAGGCCACGAACTGCGCGCCGGCGCTCCCCTTGCCCCAGTAAACCTCGGGGCTCACGGATTTCTGGTTCGCCCGGAGGTTGGACTACGAGACGGGTCACCGCCCCCTCCCACTCTAGGCTTTTCTACTTGACCCTGAGGGCTCCCGAGCAAGTCCGATGCTGGGAATTACGGACTCTGGGAGAGTCAGATGGAAGCGGAAACCAGAGCGCAGAGTCCTAGAGGGTTGCCCCTCTCTACAGGCGGCAGCGGCAGCGCCGGCGGCGGCAGCAGCAGGTGGGCTAGCGACACATCTGTAGCCAGACCTTCCTTCTACAGACCTCTGGCCGGACGTCGAGGGAGGAGGCCCTCTAGATTTGGACAGGGGTGGATTATCTGTAGAAGCCAAGTCTTGGGTAAAAGCTGTTCGATCAAGGAGCAGCTACAACCTGGAAGGTCTCTGGACATATCTTCCCGTCCCTCGCCTTGCGGCCTGTCAGCGTTTCCTAGAGTGGCTCCCCTGCTAGGCAGTGAGGAGGGGTGCGGGTCCCCTTTCCCTTTTGTTCAACCAAGTCTCCTTCCTCTTCGCAAACACTCCGCTTGTTACAGTCCAACCCAACCACTGTTCAGGAGACGCTGGAGAGGCAAACACACAGAAGTCCTTGCCCACGACGGCCACACAGTTAAAATGCAAAACAAAACTGTGCCCATCTGTCCATTCCCCCACCTCCCCAAACCACAGATGCATGAAAACTCTAGGACAGACAGGGGCGCTGGTAAACCAGAACGTAGACTGGCACAGTGTTGGGCACGCTGTAGCAACTCACTTTGTGGCCTTTTATGATGGAACCACATGCAAGCCGAATCACGACCACACTGAAAATCCCTCGCTATGAAATGCACTTTATTTCTTGAGCTCCAGCCCGGGTACATAGTGAGCCACCTAGCTACATGGATACTCGCACTGGCTTGATGGCGCGCCTTACGCACGCGCGTTGACTCCTCCCCCGCCCACCCCTCCTGTCCAGATCCTCTACACTCCACCCTCCCAAGCCGACTGATCCACCTAAACTACAATCTCCAAGACCCTTTTGCTCCGCACCACACAGGCCTTTACATTCTTTTTGCCTGATTGGACGCTGGCTTCTGTTGGCCCCGCCCCCGCAGTGACGGCAGCCCGCTTT